CAAAAAATTTTTACGTTCATTGTTTCAATACGAAGAATTTAAATATTAAATTTCAATGATATCGGTTGATTATTTCTCTTTATATACGCAAAAATGTATTTTTGGCCCGTAGTAAACGCCCAGTTGCTGACGCCTGATTTCTTCCAAAAGTTAGGAATTTTTGCGGACGGTCGAGCAAAGCTTATATATGATATTTCAAGAAAATCGGTTGAATATTTTCTTCAAAATATTCAAAAAAGTAAAACAGGCCCGCTAAAAAGTGCAGTTCCCGAGGCCTGATATATCCCAAAAGTTGATCAATCCGTGCCATTGTGGAAATAAACTTACATATAAAATTTCATCAAAATCGGTTCAGCAGAACTTGAGATACACGCGTGCACACACAGACCGACAGACCGACAGGTTGCTAAAAATAGTTTATTTACACTTCCCTACTATGGAGAAGTGCATTCCCACCGAAAACTCGATATGCAAAATTTGTTGCCATCACATAACCTACCTATTGTATACACAATACGGTCGGTAAAAATAAGGAAAAGAAATAAAAGAGAGTGTAAAAACACATTCTTAACGACAAAAGTAAATCGTTATTCTGGTTTGTGTTGCGGTAAATTTAAGGTGCAAAATAACTTTTTATGAAGATTTTCCTATTACCTTTTCTCTTCTTTGTAACAAAAAAATAACAAATTATGAATGTGTTTGTGTGTACGTATTTTGCAAAAAGTTTAAGAAAACTGCAAAAACTATTTTTTATTTCTTTTAGTTAAGAATTTTTTGTTTGAAAAAATTTTGAAGTGTGTTATTGAATAGAATGTCCTTTTCTTCGTTAAATTTGATATTTCGATTCTCTAAGTTGAAAACTTTCAGAGGAAACCAGTTGGTAGAAAAAATAAAACTATCTTATTATATTCTAAATGCAGTTGTTGGGTTTCTCCATTAGATATTTAAAATATCTTGAAGCACACTGAAATCTGAAAAATTGAACAAAATTTTTGTAATATACCAGTTAGGTTACGTAATTTAGAGAAGTTCATCTAACTTATTGATCATAATTTATCATTTTCCATTATTTCATCTTAGCTCTTTAAAGCATCATTCGCCTTCTTCATAATTAGCACAGAATTTTGTCAATTATAAACATACCAATTCGTTTAGTCTAAACATAAACTGAATGGAATTCATAGGTTTGCATCAAACACTATACAACTAAAATATTCACTAATATTGAATTTATCTTATTATTGACATAATTAAAGAGCCAAATTTTCTTCGAAATAATGTCAAAACTTTAAAAATTATATGAATTGAAACAAAAAAAAAAAAAACAAAAATAAACTCAATTACTTTTATGGGGTATTTTGTGATCGAAAATTTATGTTATATAAGATCAGCCAACAAGCCAACATAAATCGACACGTAGCATAACACTTTAAATTTTTAAATAATATTTCTGATAGGTTTGAGGGACTGCATATTAAAATTACTATTTTTATTTCTATTTAGAATAGAAATTTCGGTGGCCAAGTCTGGTATTAATAAATGTTAAATTATTGTGTATGCCATGTTGGATTGAAAATTAAATATTGTTTACGCACAATTTTCATAAAATTCTTAATGAGAAAAATTTCTTTAGTTTCATTAAATATTTTGTAAAATTTAGTATGTGAGCACAAAAATGGCAGCACTAAGAAAATTAGTCTGACCTTATTGAAATATTTTACTATCTGTCGGGAAGACATAAATGTGTTGTTTTCCTTTAACCTCTTCGTTATTATGCGTGGAAGACAGAACTAATTCTATTTTATTTAAAATTTATGAAGTACAAGGAAAATAATGAAAATATCAAAAATTTTTTTGCACTTTTTTTTTTGCAAGAATACATAGGTGTAAAAATTTGCAATGTGTTAAGTATGTATTGGAATTTTATATTTAACTGAAATAGGTTTTGTTGCCTTGAACCAAAATATTTTAAAATGTGCGGCATTATTTTATTTAAATTTTGAGTTATTTAAGAGCATTTCAATTTTTACAATGTTGTTAAGTGGTATAATAAACGGTTTTAACGCACCGAATAGGAGATAAGCTATTAAAATATTTTGTCATAAATTGCCACATTTTAAATTTTCCATCTAAATTTTTTTTTCTCTTGAAGCATTATTTTGCATATAAAAGAGTTATTGTGCATATTAAATAAAATTTAAATTTTTTGAACCAGAACAAAAAAAATCGATTTCTAAATTATTAAAACGAATTTCGATAGATCTTTATTGCATGTTCACAGGTTTTGTAACTCTTCGATTATGCGATTTTATGAAATGACTCCTTACGATTTTTTTTAGCGAGTTTGAGCGTTTTTCAGTTTTTGTAAATTTTCAATATTCGAATCAAGTGGACTTTAAAGGGTTTTGTTTAATTTTATAATATCCTAAACTGGTATATACTTATTTATTTTATAATATGTATCTTGTAATAAGACTGTTAATTTAATTCACTACATCACTTTAAAATTCTTATTACTGCTGCTTTGATTTTAAATAAATTTTCTATTTAAAACTATAAGATTCAATTCGTTATAAAAGTCGTATTTTATTGTTTAGTTTCACGAAATAATTCCTAAATAACTTTAGAAATTTAAAATTCGAATAATGTGAAACAGACTGGGAAGCGTTATCAAATTGTATTCCGAAAATTTACAGACAAGAATAAAATTTTAATAGATTCAATGACTTTATGTCTGTACATTGTCTTTTTCATCACATGAAAGTGCTGATTAAAAGTTGAGAATTTTCTTTGAAAACTTTTATATTTTTAATTTTTTTTTTTAAATTTTCCTTTTTCTTTAAACAAGGAACACAAAAAAAAAACTTCTATTCTTTCTTAAAAGTTTTTGTATTGTAAATTTTTTTTTCGCTTTTCTATTTTTTTAAATCGTTTTTTCTTCTAAAACTAAAAAGACAGACATGGGAATATTCAATTTATTCACTCCTGTTTTTAGGTTCAATAATAATATGAAGAAAATAAATTTAAAATAATTCGCTTTAGACACAAAAAGAAAGAATAGTACCATCTAGTGGTCATTTAAAATTTTATATAAAAAGGCAATATTATATTAGAAACGAGTTAGAATAAAAGAGGGAAATAGAGATGGAAAGAGAAAGAGAGAGGAATAGCAAAGAAACTTCAAGACAAACCAATTTTTTTTTTTTTACAGAATATAAATCGAAAATTAATTTTAAAAAATGAAGAAATAAAAGTACAAAGAAATTTCCAAGGATAAGAAAATAAATATTAAAAGAGAAAAAAAAAATTAAAACAAAAAAAAAAGTAAAGAAATAAGAAAAATATAATTTTTGTATGTTTACACAACTTTGGACTTGTCTCATATGTGAGAATCATAAAAGATACCAATTTAAATGGAATCAAGTAAAAGGATTCCAGTTTCAGAAAATGGATTTCGCCAAACTAGAAAATACATTTTGCAGTCAGTTACTAGCTAACCACATAAGAATATTGTGTTTTTATAGGTAGATGCATCAAAATACTGAAACATTTAATTTGAACATAAATTATAGCCTCTCATGTGGAATCTAAGAATAATACACACACACCTCATAGAGTTTTGCTCTCCCAATAGAGGAGAAAGATAATATTAGAATACAAAGCCTGTGCTTAATATCAGTAAATTCATGCTAAATTATTATTGATTTTGTATTAAATAAATTATCATTTTAAGTGCAGTTATTCGATTCAAGTTGCTCTTTTCTAGAATTTTTCTGAGACTTGCTATTTCAACTTTTTTGTTTCAATATTTAGGTAATATTTTCGAATTCAAAATTTAGTTTAACTAAAACAAGCTTAATAATTCTGATACTTTGATAGAAATTGACTTAAAACATATTTATTCAATTTCTATGTCTATACATATTCAATATCAAAATTTGTCAAATTGTTCGATTACTGTTTAATTTTTAAGAAAATTTCTTCAAGCATAAAAATAAATTTAACCTCAATTACTGGTAAAATTTTTTTTTCTCTTAAGCCAATTTATGAAGTTTGAAAGGAGATTTTGTTGAAAAGGATCAAAATTATATTATAAATGTATGTATATAAATAAAAATAAAAAGTTCATAAAACTCAAAAAAAAAATATACATACATATATATATAAAATAAAAGCAAGTCCTTGAAAATTGAGAAATTTCCTATTTGTACTTTGAATGCATTTTTATATGCGGTTTATTGAAAAATGAGGAGAGATAAAATGATTTTGTTTTTTTTTCTTTATTAATGGTGCATGGACTTGTGAATATACGGAAAAAAAATTACAAAGATGAAAATTTTTCAATTTGAAAATAAAATTAAATAAAAAAGAAAAAAAAAAAATAAATGTGCTGAAATTGAAATTTTGGTTCATTTATTCTTTATTCTTTTAATTATATAATATTAATGACAAAAGCCGAAAATAAAAATAAATTTAATTGCTCAAAAAAAACTTGAAAAAAAAATTTAAATTCTTAAATTGTGCTTATTTGTTTGTTTTTTAATAATTTTTATAAAGAGAAAATTTATTTTCTATTGAATTTACCTTGAAAACATAAAAATATAATTTTTATTAAAATCATAATATAATATGCATCCTAAATATGAATTTATGAAATATAATGAATAAAAATTATTCAAAACACATTCATATTTTATTTTCTTCAACATAAATTTATTTTATTTAATTTATAGGGGTACAAACTTTTGTTGATAACTGTTTAAAATTGAAACTAAAAATAATTCATATAAGTGTCGAATTGTCAACATCTGTCAAAATGTCAAAAAATTGTATTGTTTTTTTATTAAACTCATAAAACTTCTTCAAACAAATTTTATAATGTCAAAAATGTTTGGAAAACCTTACTTAGACTTTTAGAGAGAAAATTTTCCAAAATTTCTCAATTTTTTTAAAATAGTTTTATTTGAACTTATAACAATTTTTTTTCTTTATTCTTTCAGAGGCAAGGCAACATGGCGTTGGTTATTATGCATTTTCAACTGATGATGAAGAACGTGCACGTCAACTTAGAGAATTATATGAATTACGTGCAGAAACCTTAGAAGAACAGAATAAACGTGAAGCTGAACGTCAACAGAGAGATATAATTTTATCGGAACGTGTTAGAGCTGCCGAAAACAGATTAAGAGCTAGACAGGGATTACCACCTCTAGAAGGTACATATATAGAAAATTTGTTTTTCTTATAAAATGAAAGGGAAAAACTTTGTGCTTTAAACTTTATTTTTTTTTGCTTTTTTTTTTATTTTTTAAATCGAAAGATGATACTGCTATACAAGAAGAGAAACCTTTAACAAAAGAAGAACGTAAACAAAAACGTAAAGAAGAGAAAATGAAAAAACGTATGGAAAAAGAAGAAAAAAATAAAGAGGAAAAACGTAAAAAACATGTTCGACCATGGGATAAACAGAAAATTGGACAAAAATTCAAAAAGAAATCGTCTGACAATTCGGATTCGGATTCTGATTCAGAAGAAGAAAAAGATAATGATGAATGGAAATATAGACCAAAACGGGAGCCTATGTCACAAGAACAATGGAATGAGAAACAACGTAGTATGAGAAATCCAGAATTTGCACCTCCATCGTCATCATCATCTTCAATGTCTTTTGAAAGTCATCCAATAAATAAGGGACCTCCAACATCAGGTTTTTCATATAACAGTAATAACGATGATGACCTTGATATTAAGAATGCAAATCCATTCTTTTTCACAACTAAAAAACGCCCATTTCAAAAGAAACTGTTTGTTCGAAAGAATTATAGCTCAAAAGAGAAATCAGTTAGTTCAGAGGAACCTGTTGGTGTACCAATTCATAATGAAATTCCAGAATATTCCAAAGATAATGATGATGATCTTAGGCCACCAGGTGTATCAAGTGATAATGATGAAGATGATGATAGTGATAATGAACCTAAAGAAAAACGAAAAGGTGTAGAAATTCCACCACCACCAACATTTGAATATTATGGTCCAGCTGGTACTTCAAGGCCTCCTCCAGCTAAAAAGCCTGATATTGAATCATCAATTGAAGCCGGATTGAAATTTTTAAGAAATCAATCTGATAAGGGACTTTTTCCAACAAAATATAGCTATGGTTCAAAAACTGAATAGAATTTTAATTGAATTTATAAAAAATTAAATAAATTCAATAAATTAAATCTCTTTCTATTTGACGATAAATATGTGCACTTGCTCATTTTTTACTATAATTTTTTGAATTTTTTAAGTATTTAATATAATATAGATTCTATGTTAGTGTTAGTTTTGTAATACCAACACATTTAATTTTAGTTTCCTGATAATTTTGTTGTCAAAAAATTTTAGCATTTGTAATTGGAACTTGTAATTTTGCATTATTTTTAGGAATTTCCTTATTTATGAATAGCATTGCCCGACTACGTAAACCTTAATCCGAATCCGTAACCTTTATTATTTACGAAATGTATTTTTTGTAAATTTTCATCATAAAATAAAACTAAGGAAATATATTTTTTAGAATTCTTGAAAATTTAAAATTTTGTGGCAAATTATTTTACCATTATTAATAAATGCATTTAAAAGAACGCTCTGTTACTTGATTTTATCAGAAAAAAAAAATAAAATGAAATGTAGAAATTAAGTAGGATATTCAATTAAAAATGAATTATCCAACCTAATTATAAATTTCAGCAAAAAAAAATCTCGTAGAGCACGGATAGCACTAATCATATTTAAATTATAATTATTTTTTACAATTCTGATGTAGTACAATTCATTTTTAATGAGATAACGAAAGTAAAATATATAAAAGGAAATTGCTAAAAGGAACTAGAAAACAAATCACTTACAAAATTAGAGTGAATGTTGAGGTTTTAAAAACAGAATGTTTACGTACATAATGTACATATATAAATATGCTATAAAGTACAAAAAAATATATAAAACCACTAATTTTGTTTTAGAATTCAAGTTTTTCATGATTTAAATTGAAATTTTATTTCAATTTCAAAAAAATTAATATTAGCCTTTCCTTAGTTTTTCTACATTAGTTGGACATTATTTTATACAGTGAAATTTTATTATTGAAAAATTATATTGATATTTTTAATTTAATTTCCAATTCAGCTTTAAAAATTTATTTTTAGTTTGTTTTCTGAGAATTAATAATGCAAGCTTATATTTACATTTTAATTTAATTCAAAAATTTTCCTTGCAATTTGGACAGCGCAGATATTTCACTGCTAATTTTTATAAATGATTAAGAATATTAATTTGTTTTGATTATATAAATTTTATGCCCTAGATTTGTAATATTATTTTTTAAGTGCCAAAATGTATAACGCTTTATTGGTTCTTGTTTCAATACAATACATGAAGCAGGATGCTTTTACAACTAATAGATGATAGAATTTTCTGCAGTTATTTATTTTTTTTTTCCACATTTAAGTCGTTCAGAGTTATTTAAAATAGATTATATTGATTTATTAAAAAGGATTGTTCATATTTTCGATTAAAGATTTCAGTTTATTCATACTAACGTATTATTTAATAAAATCATAAGATATCAAAAATTAAATACACAATTTCCCTATATACACAAAGTTACTATTTTATTTATAATTTGTTTACATAAATATTAAAAATTAATGGTTTACTTTACATGGGCAAGAATTTTTTATTAACATAACATTTTGTTTCCATTATGCAATGGTATACGTAACTTTAATATTTAAAAAATAAAGAACTATTTTTACGGAAAAAAATTTAGAAACAAAAATTCCAGGTGTTCATTTACCTATGCTCTACAAACAAAAAGGACTATTAAAGAAAAATTGTAAATTGTAAAATACGTAAACTTTTCATAACATTTATTTTAGCTAAAAGTGGAAAAGGCAAATCCTATTGAAAAGTTTACTAAATGAAATAAGTTTTGCTTTGTTTTTGATTTTTGTACATTTCGAAAATTTACTTATAAAATTTAATATACTATTTAGATTAATAATAATTGACTGATCGTGCTTTTTTAACATTATTAAAAAACACGATTCAGGCAATTAATTAATAAGATCAGCAACTCTATTTAATGTCCATCAACTAACATCCAATAATGGTTCATGAACTAATATCCAATTTCAAATTTTTTAAGAGAGAAAAATAACTAACGTAGCAAATTCAATCATTCCAAATTTCTAAAAATATTTTATTCGTGTATATTAGAAAATATATTTTTTAAACTCAAAATCTAGAAATGCCCATTATAGCATAGAAAATCCAAAGAATGAGCTATTTTCTATCCGGAAACTAAATAACATATATATATATGTGGTAAATTGCTTTTAACTAATCCTTGATTTACACTCATTTCTATATTTTTATAAAATTTCTAAAATTCATGCACAAGTACTGAAAGAAAACAAAAACACATACAACTTTTTATTTATTTATTTATAAGTTTCCTTACGGAAGTGTTTTTTAAGGATTTTTTAAAAAATATTTTTTCATTTTCCATTTACACATACAATTTCTAACTTTTATATTTTGTTTGAAAAATTTAACAGAAGTTTTTCAGATCTATTTTATTAATAATAAAAAGTTTAACTTTTTAATTTCAGAAGCGGAAAATATTACTGATTTGTTTTTACCAACAATATTTTTTTTTTAATTTGAAAATATATGAACACTTGAAAACACCAATTAGTTTAATACTTGCTATTCATTGAATATTAGTTTTTCTAACTAAAAACAAAATATCAAAGCTACAAACTTTTTAAAATTTTTTTACTCTGTTAAGTACAAAAAAAACTTGAGATTGAAATTGAAAATTAATTGAATTTAAATATTAGTGAAATCTTTAAACATTGAGAAACTCAGTTATTAAAAATTGGTTTGCTAAATTTTAGAAGTAGGTCGCGACGATTTTTGCCTTTTTTGTTTTGAAGATTTAAGAGTTATATTTTATATTGTAATAAATCCTCTATAGAACAAAAATAGGTTAAAAAGATTTGTTCGCTACAATTAATCGCCATCCAATTGAACTTCATAAAAAGATGTCATGAAATAAAAAAAATAGTTTTAGTATGTACCTGTATGGGAATCTGCCATGTCATCAAAAAAATATAATTATTTCTCTGAATTCACGTATTTAATTCTTGAATTCGAGAATTATGTTAACGACTCATTCCATTTTGCCTCTTCCAATGTGTGCAATTTTTAAATATTTTGCTGTATGAATGAAAGTAATTTTAATAGTGTAGTAGATTGTTATTAAAAGTAGTGCTACTTCACTGAAACAATAGTTTGATGGAACTTTTTTAATATATATAGCACTTTATCAACTGATGCGTTTTTCAGAATGAACTCCATTGTATTTAAAAGAAAAGTAGCATGGCAAAATTGACAATGTCAATTCATATGAAAATAAGATCTGTGTGTTGTTTTAAATAGGTTTTTATTTTCCTAAAATTAAAGTTATAATTTTGGTTTAAATGTGTCATAAACCTATTTTTAAGACTGATATCCAATTCAATTTCTTACTGCAGTAACTTTTATTTTCACTTAATTAATGTAATAATCTTAAAAATCCATAAAATTGATTATTTTATTTTGTTCATTTTACAAAAGCTTTTATTTAATTCTCAAAGAATTTGCTTTTTATTTTTGCGAAAAAACTTTTTAAGATTTAATTTTCCAATTTAAACTATTTATCAAGTTTATTTTGTAATAATAAAAACAATTCAAAAAAATTACTAGCGGCTAATAAATAATTGTAATAGTAAAAACGGTATTGCCATTTGTCATCCAAAAACATGACAAAGAAAACAGACAATTTTTATAGCTTTATGTTATATAACTATTATTATGTTTTGTGGAAGTAAAATCGGAGTATATTTCAATTTGCAGTAGGAATTTCATCTAAAACTATATTATAATTGCTTTTTGTCAGTCATTTAAAATTATTTTCATGTTTTAATTTTCATTTAATATCAAATTAAGAATTAAAAATATATTTTTAGGTAACTTAATATTCTATTCTAATTGTTTAAAGAATATGGCAACACTAATTATAAAATTTCAAGTAGAGTTGGATCAACTTTTTAAAACTTAAGATGATTTTGTTTGTTTTTTTTGAGAGGTTTGTAATTCAATGTCTTCAATATAAAAAAGTTTTATGTGAAATTAATGAATTTAAAGAAAATAATTGTTTCATTGCAAACTGTCGTGCGAGAAACTAAATAGAATAAAATGAAAAAATCGTGTTAATTGCACATGTTTTTCCTTATAAACTGTCCATTCAAACCTTCCAGAATAAAGTTCTACGGGGCATGGTAAATGCGCCATTGAATATACGCAACGGTGACATCCACAGGGATTTAGAAATTCCTTTGGTGGTATATGAAATTAGGAGTTGTACTACAAAGCATAGGGCTCATCTAGAACAGCATGTAAATATAGAAGCAGCTCGGCTGTTAGATAATGGCGTTATGACAGGAAGATTTAATCGAACAAGACCTTTCGAGTTAACACGAAATACCAATTTACTTATGGAAGGTAGCGCAGAGGTAATAGTTGATCTGTAGAACCAGTTTTATTCGTTCAAAGTTTTTAGGGTGATTTTTTAGGGTAAGAGTTACGCTACCCCACTGTCGCAAGAAAAAGGCAGGTAGCGCCGTCCTTTTTCGTCTTTCGAGATTTAAAAAAACATAAACTGTCATAAAAAAACTTAGTGTTATTTTATACTTTTACTTTTAAGTTTTTATTATAAAAATCTGTTTAAAATAGTTTAAAATACTTTTAAGTTTTTATTATAAAAATCTGTTTAAAATTCGTGATTTAAAAGCAACATCACAAAAAATAACATTTGGTGGAGTTAAAAAATTTTTTTTATATTTATAGATGCATCGAAACAATTTTTCGATATATTTAAAATTTTAACCAACCCTAGTTTAATTTCTGTAGTCAATTATAGTTGCGTTGTTTTTTGTGTATGTTTTTCTAGTTTTTTTTTTTTAACAATTTTAAAGTCATTTAAATTATTCTTTTCGTACAAAAAAAGTTTTTTCTATAAAAGAAAAACTTTTCTTCTTCTGTTCGAAAAAAAATTTTTACAATTTTTTTATTATACGCGATGTAAAATAATGTTAGTAAAAATTGCGGTTAAGGAAAGTTCATTTCTACAATTTTTTTTGTAAGGTAAGGAATTGAGATAAATTGAGAACGTAAGAAAAGAGAATTTATTTACTAATGAATTAAAAAAATATTTTCCTTCTTTTTTTACTTATTTTTAAAGTAAAAAGTTTAAATTTGTTT